CCAATCAATCTAACTGATGTCACGGTCCCTGGAGTTTGAAACCAATATTTTAATTTGGCGGGGTACTTTACATGGATCCTCTGGGATATTTTTCAAAATGAAAAAAGGTCCATCGTTTTCGGTAAAAATTTTTTGTTAGTAAGTGTGAAAGACGTTTAAGTTTAAGACGTATATTCCTTAAAGACAAATTTTGAAATAAGTTCATACATAATTTATTCGTAAATTTGGGTACTTTTTACATAAACGTTCGTAAAAATAGGGGGCGAGGTGCTGTTTTAGCACCGCTAGTTACTTAAACGTTTTGTGAGAAGTGAAAATTAATAGTTAATAAATTTTGGGGGGAGGGGATGTCGCTCATTTCCTCCCGTGGATCCGTGCCTGTACAAAACATGGTTGTTAAAAACACGCACCGTTGCCGGCGCCTCTTTCTTCTCAAGAGCACAAAATGATGCAGTCAAGATTTACAATGCATGTTTAACTATCATGGTTTTGGACAACGTTTTTTGGGTAAATGAGTATTTTACTTTATTAAACTATATTGATTGTTTTTTGTCTTTCCTTGTTTGCACATTGATTCTTTTGTGTGTATTTTGTTTTCTTTATATATACGATAGGCGTCAATGAGGTAAAATTCCTCGAAACATGTATGTTGAAATATAACATCTGAAAGCAGTGTAAAATACATATTTTATAGTGAAAAATCGTTTCTATTTTACCCATTCAAATAAAGGTATTTGCGGCTCGCGGGATAGGAAAACGAGTAGCGCAGGATGTGGTAGCGAGCTTTTCGTTTTGTTTGGGACTCGCGTTTGCCGCATCCGTGTGGGAAATTTGTGTCGCTCTGCAATTTGGCTCACCGCGGTGTTTTTTGCGCACGATGGTCTGCCGCCGCGTGAAATATTGGCTTGAGCGCTGGGCTTGTCAACTTTGTTTCACATCTGTCACTCGACGCGTTCGTCGAGTCGACGGCTTACTGCCGCGTGTCATAAAACATGAACGACGCGCCGCGGCGTCAGCAGGAGAGTTTTCGGAGCGCAAATTTGCCTTTGTACCTTTTTCTAGGGTTAGTGTCTATCACAAAGAAGAAAATAGTTCGCCCCGTTCGGGCAAAGAATGTTCCAGTTTCATTGCAAGATATGTGTAAGAATAATACAAAGAGTGATTTTAACAGTTTGCCAATTATTTTGTTCAGGAACTGCTGCTATGTTTTTAGCTGTAGGCATGTTTCATTTACGTGGACTTACTTCTCAGTCTCTCCTAATCTGATCGGAGGTGTTGTAGATGGAATCAACTAAATTACATCACACGTGCCGGCTATCTTATTGTATAGATAGTTATAATTATTAGGAAATATATGTATAAAATACCGCAATCTTTAGACAAGAAAGATTGACTTTGGTGTAATTGATTTAGAAATACTTAAATACACCTACAAAAATATAATAATATGCATAATCTTTAAAAACAAATAAATTTATATGTGAAAATATATATTAACAATATTGATTTATAATCAATCGCTCGATCAACATTCTTCACGATATTACAAAACCAAAAAACCGCGAAGAATAAAATATATAAATCTTCTGTGAAGTTTCTGGACTGCGAGAAACAAAAATTGATTAGTTTAAGAGTAAAACAGAATTATTCTCTCTCCATTATTTTAATTTGTTGTATGAAAAGCAAAAAACAACAATTTTTTCTATACCAGCATTATAAACGACATTTTCTGTCGCAAGAAATATTTTGTGAATGAGCTTTTTACGGCACAAATGACGTATTAACATTTTACGGCACGAATGATGTGTTATCACACGTTCAGCCAATCGCAGCGAGAGAATCGTGGTAGCGGTGAATGGAACAGCCGACCACCGTTTTGTCGCCTAAATGTCAAATAAGGGAGACGTCACAAGGCAGATGTTACGGAAAATTACGTTTGATTCTCTTATAAATTTATAATTCTGGTATAACAAATAGCGTATGCAACTGATTTATAATGTTGCTTTCTTGCATTCGTATAAATTTGAAAACGTCGCTCGTTTTCAAAACATAGATTCGTGCAATAAAGCTTAACATCAAAATGTAATTGCATAAACTATTATACAATAATTAAATTTCATTACTATACAACTCCACTGATCAGCCGGTCAGAATAGCTTCAATAACATGTCCCAACCGCCCGCGCGTGACCCTTGGCGAGTGCCCGTGTGCTAGCGAGGTCCCCCAAGCGAGAGGGTGTTGGCAGCCCTGCCGCCGCTGTCCTTTGGCCAACCCTGGCGGCGCTAATGGGCGGTGAGGCGCAGTAGTTAGGCGCACACGAGCCGCGCGGCGTACACAGCTCATTCGTCAGGGGATTAGTAATGGCGATATTGGCGGGCGATATGGTCGACATTAAAACCCAATGACATAATTAAAGTGTAGCTCTGCGAGCAAGAGGGCAGCGAGGCTGGCGTGGCCGGCGCCCGAGGCCGCGCTAGCAACCGCCATCGCGCCCGGTGAGCTATCAGCAATTACCAGGCTGCGTTCATAAACCTGCCTGCGGGACTTAGGCGGTAGGTGCGGCGCCGGCCGCGCGGCGCGCTGCGATCGTCCGCAGCGCGCAACGGCCCCCGCGGGTGCGTTCAGAAAGTCTGCACCGACGCTCGCGTTTGCACAGCCGCCGTCTCGTTGCCTTTGCTGCTGGTGCGGTGGCGGTGGTGGTTTTAGTGGTGAGCTTCGGCGGTGGCCTGTCGTTGGGAGCGCGCGCGTGGATGGTAATGCCACCGGCGACGAAGTAGTAGAAGTGGAGACTGATCTGCGATGGGAGGAGAGTAATACGCTCGATACGCAGGAGAGCGAACGAGCCAGTGGGAATTTTGTTTTAAGAGCAAAGAAGAAAATTGGGATTTGGGCGACGAAGATGAGAGAAAAACAGGTTTGTGAAACACCACTACCGCCATTAAACTCGTACTCGCATCATAGTTTCACTACTGTAACTAATGTATACGCTTATATCTATTGCATATTTTTGTTGTATTGGTAATTTTATGCGTATTTTTATGAATTAATCTATTTTATTTCTTTTAAAATATGTCTATTTTTATAACAAACTCTTTTTAAGTTTTTGTGCTATTTTATAAACACTTTAGCTTCATCACCGCTTCCCACTATCCGCATATTCAAGTCTTTTTACAACGCTTAGATATGTGAAACAAGAAAATTCACGCCTCAGGTACAATATACTTTCCTAGCGATGTCTTTTACAGAGTTAAGAGGAATCGCTACATTAACTGCTTGTTAAGCTCAAATATACCATAAGAAACGAGAGGACATACGAAAGTAGCCGACAATGAAGAATAAGACAGAATCAACTACAATTTTTCGTCATGGCAAAGGGATGGGCATTACTTAGGAGACAGAGTAACAGTACTCATGTCTCAGAGAGATGGAAAGAAAGGAAGGTCATAGTCTTTAAACATCAGTGGCTACTTAACTGTTAGCAGTAAGAGTAGGGACGCGAAGTAATATGTGTATTGAAAACATTTCAATGTAAAAATTGCTAATAATGTTTATAAAGTGAGGCAAGTGATGCAAATGTGGCCAGTGCACGTAATATGACCAAGTAGCGGTTATGGTGTTAGCTGGAACGATTTCTGATTGATTGTGCTAGCGAGCAGTCTGGACGAGTGTAAGAAGTACGTTAACACCATACTACACTTGTTGATTTGCGCATTCGTACTCTGGAGCTTTCATTGTTAAGAACGTGCTGAAGCCGCTCTGTCCTCATAACTTCTTTTAAGCTCTCCCGCTTTTGTTTTAAAAATGGATCTGGCCGTATTTTTCTAAGATCAGACTGTAAGAGTGTAATTTATAGCTAGCTCTAGTTCCTTGATCATGCTACAAGAAACAAATTAATTTGGCAATGGCCTTAAAAGCTGCATGTGGGCACATTACCTTCAAATTACTATGTTTTTGTAAAGTAACAACCAAATATATCCTAAACGATTTTTTTGTGGTATATCTATTTCAACTTGAAGCACGAGTGTTAAATTTCATCATGATACTGTTAATTTGGCCAAATGTTCCCATATATAAACAGTAAAATTTGAGGCGCTTAACGTGGCCTTACTACTTTCACACACCTTACATTCAATCGTTACTAAATCGAAACAGTTATGTGTTATTATAAGAGAATAAAGAATAATCTACACATATCTCATTTCCGTGTTTGTTTTTTTTTAATTTCAATTGTCTAATCGTCATGAGCGTTTTAGTCACGCAAACCACGCGAAACAGAAGCGCTGGCGTCGAAGGGAGACGGAGCGACGCGTCGAGCTGAAAGTGGCGACGGCGGCGGTGGGAGCAACTGATGGCAGCGCGCTCTGCGGCCGTTGCGGCTCTTCCGGCAGATCGGCGCGGATTTCAGGCGCCATTGATTGAATATGCATAAACGCCCCATCGGCACGCCGGATCTCCGCGCGGTGATCTAATGAAGGTTTTGCGGTGGAACGAACCGCTGCCATCATCACCGTCGCCCCCCTCAGCCGCTGTCATTACGATCACTGTTTCCCCTTGAGGGAGAGCATTGCTCCCGCTGTTCTCGCCTTGGTGCATTCACCGCCTCCGCTGAGTGCAGTTGGGCCGAAGCTGTCGAAACTTTGGAAAGGAAAGCGCAGAAAAAATGCTGGAAGGTAATAGAAACATTTTAACGCAAATGGTGATTTTCAAAGAGGGACGTAGAAAGGCGATGGCTTTTTATTTGCCAATACGTAATGCTGCAAATTTTCTTATTATATTGCAACATAATTTGATAGAAAGTTACTAGTAAATAAAGTAATGTACTATTGTAAGCAGGAGAATTGTATGGTTTCAACAACCTCTACAAAATGTACATTAGTTCTTATAGCTTCCTACATACTCGCAGTGTTTGTGGGTTATTTTATTACCTTGTCTTCATATTATTTGTTGATTTTGATTTCCATTTCTTCAGAGAAATATTTACTGACTGAAATATAAACGTAATGTTTCAGGTAAATACTTACGTAGTACTCTCTCTTTACTAATTCGTTATAATGATTTATCACAAGGCTCTTGCCACTGACTCATCATACATATGGTAATTACCTCTTAAACTTTTCACGGTTCCGTTATTTTCGCAGCCAGTCTTTCTAACTTTTCCCCAACTTGTCTTCACTTTTAGATCTTGCATGTGAATCCCCAAGTTCCAGAATATGTGAAGCGATTATGATACATCCATACAATAACTTGGTCAGAGTTTGGAAAATTGTAATTTCTGTCAAATGAATGTCATTTTTCTTAATCACCATTAATGTAACTATAGTTTGAATTGTCCAATATCTGTGTGCTTAGATACCGCATAAGCACGACAAAGAAAAAACAACGCAAGCCACAGGCATTGTATGTCTTTTTACGTCGGGCAAAGCGAGAAAAAAACGGCTCTCAGTGCACAATCCAGGGTCCGATTCCGGGCTTCCCAACTGCCACATAGATGCGCCGCATAGACGGAGGAGCGAGTTTAATGTAGCGTGGGTTCGAGACTCGCTCGGTGGAAAACGACGATCGAGCCCCGGTTTCAGCAATCTTCACCGCGGCGCTGACGAAAGGAAGAGGCGGCGGAGCTCAATTTGAAGCGAGGCGACGCGTGCTGGAGAGAGAAAAGAAAGACCAGAGGAACGCGCTCGTGCTTGACGATGTGGAAGTAGGTTATGCGCGGCTTTGCGAACGCGAAAGAACTTTGTTACGATGCGGCGGGAAGGCGACAGAAAGCTGGGGATTTCTTTGCTCTAGCCGTTCCAGGGATGGCGGGGCCATCAACGTTCTTGAAGATTTGAAAATAGGTTTTCAAGAACGATTAAATGTTTAAGAAACGGGGAAAACTTTTGGGTTGCTAGAGGCCAGCGCGCGTGTCTCCGTTCTTCTGAAATGTTATCGATGTACTTTACCTACACTTGGAGATTGTACTGCATGGATATTTTATCTATGCCTTCTTTTTTTGTAAGTATTCCTACAGTTGAAAGAACAAATAAAATAATAAACATTTTTCAGATTATAAAAATATTTTCTTATGTAATACCAAAATGATTTTGCAGTTTCCTACAACAAAATTTGAGCATATTCTTAAGAAATGACAACCCTACTTTAATAGTTATTTAGGAAACCGAGGGCGTTATAAGGGTTTTAATTACCGAGCGGCGACAAAATGCCCGAGGAGCTTTTTGTCGCCGGAGATCATTAGAACCAGTTAACGTTCGTGGTTCATACGTAATTTTATTTTTCACTTAATTTTATTGATTCAGTTTCACTTATTTACTAATCAACTAATGCTAACTTGTCTGTTTGTCTTTTCATATTTCCTTCCCATAATTCACTCTTATAATTACCCTCCATAAAAGAACATGTAGCATCATTCAACAGTTTTCATATGTCCCTCGTAACTACGATCCTTTCACTCTGTGTATTTAGAGCTTAGTATAGAAGGCAATAACAAGCTACAATGTATGAGTTAAAAATAAATTTAATTTTAATTGAAAATAAAATACCAGATGGGTTCATATTTTCCCCTATAAAATAAATTCTTGGTAAGTTAAGATTTTTAGATCAATAAGAAAATTAGAACTATTACTTTAGAAAGTCGAACGTATTGAATATATAATGTAATATACAAATAACATGAATATTGGCATTTTACTTAGCTAACATGAAAATTTCGCGGCAGTGTCTTCGCTTTACACTGCAAAAATTACGTGGTTTGTGAAAAAAAATTAGGCATCTATCTGCTCTACTTGTCAATGTAGCAGTAATCGACAAATATATTTTTCTGATTCAAGGGTGAGAATGAGTTTTACACTCAGTAACAATCGATGCATCATGTTCCTCCCAAATATTATCTGCTGCTGTAGTTATAATTGTGAAAAACGATGTTGGTTACCACCACAATTTATAGTACACGGGAACGTCAACTGCATCTCCGGGAAGTAATACAACAGAAACATGGACCTTGAGGTTCTCCAAAACCATATGCGAGCACAAGCATTAAAAACTTTGCTAAAAATGCAGATCGATTCTTGATACTAAGATGTTGTGTAAGATATCAACATGGTAAACATTTATTTAGCTGATTTTTCACAAAGAGATATCGTTCCCACAGTATTCACTTTTCTGCACTCACGGTAATTCTTATAGGTCTTGGTGTTGGATTTTCACTGTCAGAACGTAAGTCCTAACAGTGCAGATTTAGCATGAATAACAGACTGTTAATGGATTAGATAGAAACATTGTCAATTTTTGTAATGATAAGATTCTTAAATTTTCGAGAAATCTTTCTTCACAGATAAAACTAATACCGGAATGCATAGTTGCCGAATGTATTGAGAAGGCTTAAGAGAGAGGAACAATTTAATGTTTGAAAGTTTATTGGCTCAATCTGTCCGGAATTTTAAAATTCAAAGTCATCCTTCCACGGTAACTGCAAATACTTTCCTTGGTGGGTGTATATATACCTATCACTGTTCACACAGTATACAGTCACACACGAAGAGTCACTATCATTTGTAAATATTTGTAAAAAATATTTTCAAATCATATGTTAAGTTCTTAAAAGTAAAATTTTCATTTTATGTTTATGAAACTATAGGGCTACATCTCAGTGTTAACTTTGACAAAAACTGCCTAAACAAATCAGTGTTTATATGTGCAACAAAGTACTAAAACTGGGTTTGAAGAGTGATAGCTAAAAGTTTGTTTCTCAAGTGGTAAAAAACTAGGAACTAGTAGAAAGGAGAATTGCTTTACTAAATTAGATTAAAAACTACATTTAACTGACCTTAAAACTGCATTAAAACAATATTACGAGCGTCTAAATGTGTCATTCCCTTAAAAAACAAAACGTTCATTCTAGCAAGTTGACTTTCTGTTTATGCTTGCCTTTCGTCCTTCGTTCTCGTAAATGTCAGCACGACTCCACGCTTTGTGAGGTGTTGGTCCTTCCCTTTTCTACCTCTTCGCTCTCGTTATATCCCATAATAACACGGAATACATTTTGACTGCGTTTTCGCTAACGTTCACGATAATGCTTCCGGTGCTTCACAACGTCCGGCCGGCCTCTTCGCGCGAAATGATTTATTCATTAATCTATCTTTTCCTTCTCCTTTCTTAAACGGCCGGAAAATGCTCCGCTCTCGTCTCATTCGCGCTTTTCCGCATGAATAATTTAAAACAATATGGGATGACGAACGGCACGCGCGCACGCGCTCTGGGCAGATAAGGGGAATTCATCACCATTGCGAAGACGCCGCTCCGCTCCGCTCCGCACCGCGCCGCGCCGCGTGCCTCTTTTTTATCAATTTCTTCCCGCATAATGCGCTTAATATGTCGCGCGAGTGAGGCCAAGTGGGTCACGTCAACGCACGATCGATGAGTGCGAAACAGGACACGGCGTCTCCTCGCCCGAACGAGAGAGGTGGCTCAGGGCATCGACTGATCGCTCTGCAGTGCCTCTGTCTTAGGCTCGAGTCCCGACTGCGGCAGGATTTTCGAGGTAGATAGCTAGGTCGAGTACAGCCGCTGTCTGTTGGAGAATTCTAGCTGCCGTCTGCTATGATCGGAAGTTTTTCGTGGTTTCTGCGGTCAACACCAGGCGAATGCCGGAGCAGTACCCTAACAAACGGGTCACTGACCGCGCGCGATCTTTCCTTCCTCTTCCTTGTCCTACGGTCACCGCTTACTTACACACACAATAACATGCACTACACCACCACACATGTCGGGTGACCGATCGGGAGCTTAGAGCTTGTCCCAGCAGAGGCGCTGTTGGGAGATACCTTGTTACGGATTGCCCCGCTAGCCACCGGTAGGTTGGCGCCGGATCTCTCCATATAGCGTCGGTGAAAATCATCGCCATCTTCTGAGAAAAACATACACAACAATTGCGGATCTAATAACCCTAGCAGTTGACGTGTTCCGAATCATCAATTAATCAACACACCTCGGCAGGACTTGTCGCCTTCAATTGGCGTCCACAAACGGGGAAGGAGGAAGGAGTCATGGCTCGCCTAAAAGTTTCATAAGGGGACCCGTAGCCGAATGTAAGAAAAAATATTTTATTTTCGTATATATGATCAACTCTTGATTTTCCTCTTTCTGAGCTGACAATTTGGAGGATCGATACATTTGAGGATGTGGCTGTTCAAACTCTTTGGCAATCGCGTAAATTGTTCAGCGTAAATATATAGTATTAATAAGTTGTATCACTTAAGTAATAATTGCATGCGCCTTGCATTCTTTTTTATGTCCTAGTAAAATGGGCCATACGTAAATAAAAATGTTTAATAGACAAGAGGGCCCAAAAATTTGGTCTCTTCCTCGTTTCAGGCTGCGCACGTTTGTTGCCTTCCCTCTCCCACAAGCACATGCACAACCACATGATTGTCTCCTTGCCAATCTTGCGATGATTCTATTCACGTTTAGTTACTATACCGTAATGCTACAATTTTCCTGTTCATGGCCTGTTCATGGCAACTTGTTCATGGTATCTAGAAATACAGTGATGTTTATGATAGCACACAAAGTAATGAAAGATTTCTGTTCATGGCCGTACTAGTATTTGAATTTACTGTTTATCTCCTGACCTACTCTGACATTCTCCGGTCCTCAGTTTAAAAATTCGTTGTTTGGTACAGAGTACCTTAAAATAATCATTTTGTCTTGTCTCTGGTATTTCTACTCATTACTCCCACAATTAGAAGGAATTAATTTCCTTTGAATTAGCTGGGATATTTATTTTCAGATGTTATCTTCTACTTTGAAACACGCTTTGAAATTTGCACATTATTATATATCAAAATTTCCTGATTGGCAATTCAGCATTCCTTAAATTGAAGTGAGTGAGCCTTCACTTTAGGGAACAGAAATATCACCGCCACGAGATGATGCTAACTATAGTACAACTAGTACATGCTGGGTAAAGTAATGACGAAATGGGTCCGTTTAATATGCATTTGTAAGCTGTCAAGCCAAACATGGCTTATTCTCCCATGCGCCAGACGAGTAGTTCATTCTCATTGAAGTTGTTACAGTATCGATGCAGTTCAGCAGTAGAGGACATGGAAATAGTTGATCTTTAAGAGTAACAGTCTTAGGCTATAAAAACACTGAAGAACAGCAACAACCGAAGTTAAATAAACAATTCGAGAGAGCGCGTTTATTTCGAGAGAACTAAACAATCAGAAAAAAAGAAGCAGAGCAGAAAATGTGCTTTCACTGCAGAGGATTTTTCACTGCAAAAAGTGTGAAGCGTTGAATTCGAGGAACAATTCCTTTGGTTTCGCAAGCTCTAGCTGGTGATGAGGGTATTCTATAATGAATGTTTAAAAAAAATAATTCAATACTGTTGTTGATTTTAGGAAACATTTATGTGAAATACTTTCGTGTTCTAATTTTCTTTTTAAGAATAATTATAATTTGATAACAATGAACAAACTCGGTCATAGTATTTAGAAATACAGTGACGTTTATGATAACACACAAAGTAATAAAGGCTTTCTGTTCATGGTCGTACTAATTTACTTTAATATTTATTCAAAAATATTTTTATTAACTAGTGTTGCAATGTCTTGTTGCAGAATTTGATCAAAACATACCTTTAGCATTCTTTAGCATTTTCTTCAATTTTCATGATGGTTTTCTTATTCATTAGTTTCACCTTTTCAGAACTGAATTTTTTGGTATTAATATTTCAGATCATTTTAAAGGGGAAAGTATCTTGGCCTACTCATCAATTTTATGAGTTATACATTCCATAATGAAGGGAAATAGATGTCTTGATGATATTAACCGTCCATTTCTCTCAAAATTCAAACATTTTTCGTCAAGTTTGGTGAGTGTGTGAATGATTTTCTATTCCTAGAATCTGATATTCCTAACTTTTCCTTCCTTCCAACTTCCTGGACAAAAATAACATTTAAAACCATACCACTACCTGACATTATGCGATATTAATAAGCTTCGTCACCCACTCCCCAGTAAGTAAAAATAAGTTCACCAGAAATAGTAAATAATTTAATAGATTGCCTTCGTAAATAAATCATATTCCCCTTATCCTAAAGCACAAGACATTCGTTCACAGTGAAAATATGAAAAATAATTCCAGCATTGAAGTCATTAATTTCCATTAAGCTTGGTTCGTATTCAGTGTTCTTCGTTATGCCGTTGCATACAGTGGATATAATGTGTAACAAAAATGCATTTTAAGTAAATGTAATAGATGTAGTTATTACGTTTTTATGGGTAAATTAATACTGTTATAGTTAATATTAAAGGTCGTCTACGGCAAGTTTGCCTCGCTCGACAGTTCCACTGAAAACATGAAGAAACGGCGCTACGCTCAGCACTCTTGGTAGTCGTCTGTCTGGTGTGTCGCGGCAGTTTGAATTTCGTGGCCGGGATATAACATTTAAACACAATTTTCTCTACAGAATTAATTTTTCGGAAAAGTCGGATCTGCCATTATACGTGAATATCAGCATAGAATCTGTTTTTTTGTAATGGGAGATTTGACACCTGAATAGTCATAATAAAAGTAGACATAACAATATTTATACTACTTCTTTACGTAGAATATATTAGTGAGCCCTTGATAGTTTTCTGTTTGTGTGTTCTGTTGGGTATAAACGACAGCGACCATGACTATGTGGGTAACAATGCCGCACCCCAGAATTCTTGTGGGCGGTGCTCGTTGCCCAGTGACGACTGGCTGGTGACATTAGGCGGACGTCTCGAAGCCAGGGGTCCAAGTGACATCGTCAAAGAATAGTAACCCAAGGTATTTTGTAACGTTTTAGAATTTCTTTGTTTCTAGATACTACAAATCTGATTATTTAAAATGAAATTATAATGTGTCTTTACGATTTACCTCGAATGCCATTATGATACCATAGATTGGTGTTTTCAGGAAAACATAGTTTCTCGTATTATTGGTTATCGTTTCGTCAGGTTATAATTTTTCAACCTGTATACTATCACTTCAGCCATCACTTCAAAAAATTTTATCTAAACAAGCACAGGAAGTTCGAAAACAAACGTAGAACTTACTATTCTGGAACTTCAAATGTGCATACGAAAATGGCTTTTTGACATTAAATTGAGTATATTCTGCTAAATTCTTCGAAAAGTGTTTAAATAAAGAAGTACTCCGTCAGGAGGTTACTTGAACACCGTGTATTTTATCTCGTGCTTAAGCTTACAAAGCATGAATATAATTTCTGATCATACGGTTAATTTACGTTGTCTATGCTAACATAAAGTGTTGAAGTGATTCTTATACTAAGAAGCAAAGTTGGCCGTACATTGAATTAAATTATCAAAGAAACCTAATATTTAAAAAAAATATTCCTGAAATAATTTATAGATAGAATTCTGGGAAATAGTATGAATTAACAAATATAATTTTCCAGGAGACCCTCAAAAACATTAACTTTTACTTTTTTTTGAATTTTCAGAGTTTTAAATGAAAATCAGTACTATGTTTACTAATTGATTTATTTGAAAACTACATTAAAAAAGATATGTGGAGGTTTCTGAGAAATTCTTGATTTTTAATTTTGCTGTTTCACGAACGAACCAAATAAATTATTAATTTAATTTCTCTAGTTCTTACCATATCAACTTATTTTTGCATATAATCCACCAATATTTTAAGACATGAATTAGCGCAAAACATTGAAAAATTGCTGTTGATCTCACGAACGGTCTTCAACACGTAACTCAACACCCTCGGTCACATAAAAAACGCTTCAGAAACTTCTACCAATTCAAAGCTGGAGACAATAGGAAAACTAAAATGGAATAGTCCGCCACCCTGATGAATTTCCGAATTTATTGCCTAAATTTGATGAAACTGAATAAGTAAATATAGAAAAAACCAACAATGATAGGGATTTTGCTAGGACGTTAGCAACAATTCCGTCCACAAAGTATTCTTGGAGGGGGAAGCTCTCATTGCCGGGCGATGACGGTGAAGCAAGATGGGCATTACAAAGCCTGCGGGCATTCCTTCTTTCTCTTCTTAGCCGACAAACAAGGGCAGCAAGGTATTTTGCATGAGCGTTTGTTACTTTCTATGTCTTTGTTGCTTTGTATTCGAATTTCTGTATTTGAACTTACTCAACCACGTATTTGTGAATGGAAATAATACAAACCTAGAAAAAATATCCATTGAGTATTGGCACGTACAAAAATTAACTCATTTGATTCATTTCTCGTAACGAAAATATTAAAAAATAGATTTATTAAAATATATACGAAAATGGACGTAGTAACGCAGATAGAAATGTATTCAAAAAGCAATCGACACTAAACATGGACTACATGTTTTCTTGGCTTCCACCACATAAGACATTGTCAAAGCAACTCCTCAGTCATGAAAGCAAATTCTCAGTCTCAAAATTCAACAGGAAATATCTATCGCAAAAATTAAAAAAATAAATATCAGTTTCCAAATTTTAAAAAAATCAGACTGAAACATAAATAAACCATTCAACATTATCCACTTGCACCATTGCCATACTCTTTAATTCTCCTATATTGTCTCTAAAACTTAATATGCAAATTACATATTTAATTGAATAATGTATTAAAAAGTCGTCTATTAATGTTTATTAACAATTGTATTACTGAGGTATTTCATTACTTTATTTCCTTAAGTTTCGCAAATATTTAATACAAAATTCACTGGTTACAGTCAGTATTGATGTTTAATTGTGTTAGTTTTTTATCAGTGTTTAATGGTATTATGGATAGATTTTCTTTTTGTTTTCCTTTCAAGGAACTTGGACTTTCTAGCTTCACGCCCAAGAGAAGCTGCGCAATGTAAATAATATTCTCCGGGTGACCGGAGGATATAAGAGAGCCCAGCGGCTATGCAGGTAGGCTTCTTGCTTTCAACGTACTGTAAAGCTACATGGAGAATCTACAGACCGGAACATTATTCTCCGGATGACCGGGGGATATGGGAGAGCCCAGCGGCTATGCTGGTGGGCTTCATGCTTTCAAAGTACTATGAAGCTACATGGAGAAACTACGGATCAGAAACATTATTCTCCGGATGACCGGGGAATATGGGAGAGCCCAGCGA